TCAAGTTTGGTAGTGCCTTAACCATCCCAGTGGAACCAACAGAAAGTCAAATAAAAGTCACGAGTCAAGTTAAAGCCATCACTTCATTTCACTTAAATATTTGTGGCTTCTGCAGCTACAACTGGAGAATAACCTCAAGGTGTTTTGAAGAAATAAGATATGTAGTGACAAGTACTGGAGCTGGTGTCAGATAATGCTGATTCTGTGCATCCTGGCTTTTCCACTTAACAATTATTGTGTAATATCACACAATAAAACCAGTCATGGACATAGAAATAATAAGTCGAAGGGATGAGTGGACCGTATCAACTTCAGCCCACATGACTCTGAGACCAGAAGGACAAGATCGTACCTGGCTACCACTGTCAACCACTCAGAAAGGGATCAAAATTGGAGATCCTGGATAGAGTGGGTGGAAAATGTGGAACAAAATTCAAAATCATAAAGACCAGTCTTACTGGTCTGATAGAGACTGGTGAACCCCCTGAGGCTATTGCCCCTATCCACCCTACAGGCCTAGAAATGAACTCATTCCCGTGGCTTCCAGCCAGATGAATATGGTGAACATTTATACCAGATAGGTACACTCCTTAGGAAATCAACCATGGGAGATCAGAAGGGCAGTATTTGCATAGGGAGATAGCTCAGAGAGCAGAAAAACACAGGAAAGGACACAGGGAAAAGGTAACCACAGGGAGGAAGTGGGAAGAGAGGTGCTATATTATGGGGATTACAATCGATGTTAGGAAACAAAAATGTGTGTGAACTCTTGTATGGAAAATGAATTTATTCTGTAAACTTTCACCCAAATCACAATGAAAACAAACAAAAAACAGTGATGATAATCCCTGTCCTGCTTCTTTCAACAGGTGACTATGTTCAAATGATAGTGTGTGAAGGTGCAAAGGATTATTATTAATGAAGTTTTCTGGAAGAAAAAGTTCTTATGGAAACCCAGATATTGCCACAAATTCCTTTTTGGAAATAAGTTGGGTACACATTAGATATAGCTATTAGGATGATAATCATCTCAGTTTCCTTCACCACCACCACAAAAACCAGAAATCACCAGAATTACGCTCTTTATTCACATTCCTTGTTTCAGAGTCATGCTGGTTTCTGATACAGAGAGCATTTCTGGCAGTTGACATCAGAAAGCCAATACCTGCTTAGAACACACAGAGCCCCAGAATTTCCCTTTGAGTCGTGGAACAGTGGCAGTTACAGAAAAACAGGAATAGAGACGAGCCAGTGAAATGAGAACCCCAGACCTCAGCTTGGTTTTGAGCTTGGGCTGTGCTCCTCAGGACATCCAGGCAGACCAAGCTCAGGCCAGAACAAAGCACATCACAGGAAGGACTATGTCTGACCTGGAAGCCAGCCAGCACAGTAAGTACTCATTTTGGGTTGAATGCTAGGCAGGTTTAGAATACTATGCAAGCCATAGAAGGATGCAATATCCTCCCTCCCTGGGATAGACCTCTCCCTGGCCTCCTCAAGTGGCTCCAGAAGGTCAAGGGTCTTTGACTCACTCATTCAGCATATCTTTACTGCTGTCTAATTTACGCCAAGCTATATGCTGGGCAGACACTACAGACCCAGTTCTTACCTTTATGGAACTCAGAACATAATAAAAAGCATGTATTTATAGATAAGTCACTGTAATTCAACATAAAAAGGAGAAGAGTTAGACAGCCTTGGCCCTCAAGCAGTTCACAGCCTAAAAGAGGGCTAGAGGCACAACAGACAATACAGGGTGGCCTGTGGTAAAGACCAGAGAAGATCAGACTGTGCACTCTGGCAGTAGGGAAGGATGACCTGACAGGTATATGAATAATGCAGTGGGAAAAACATACAGCTTGCTGGAGAAGAGTAAGCAGCCCAATCTGGGCAGAGTGTAGGTATCAAATCCTACTGCCCTGGGAAGGAGGCTGTGCAGCCTCAGGTTGACCTCTGAGGGTTCCTCTGGATACGACCCGGAAAAAGGAATGGTGAAATGTCTCTAACTTATGGCTGCAGCTACATGGAGAGCTGAGAGACCTAGCGATGAGGAAAACAGGTCCAAATAAATCATCCAGAACACGGGTCTGAGGTGAATACTAGGATCTTTGGAGTTAAGGAACCAGGGAGCATGTGTCAGACTAGCAGACTGAATGGGCCAGGGGAAGGTTGGTCTGGGTCAATACTAGCAACAGGAGTCTATTATCAACACATCTACACGTGTGTGCTAGACAGAGAAGGACATAAGGAGCACAATGTGCAGGCAGCACCTGGAGGCACAGGACCACAGCCTATGTAGTCCTCTCTCCATTCCTAAGGATCACAGGCCTCTTGTCAGCATTCCTTTCTTCTTCACAGCTGCCATCACCCACCCTATCTTTTCCATTCTACCCGCAACCTGAGGGTGGCTGAAATGGGCTCAGTGAGGATACCACCTATCATGGCATAGGTTCCAGGTCCTGAAGGCCTTGAGTAATTGGCACAAACGGGGTTGCAGTGCCCACAGCTCTTTCTCTGTTCGTCGCCGGAGCATAGACAAGTTGAGCCAATTTAGAGTTGGGTAGGACTGTCTCTGCAGGCCAAGCTGCTGGCCTGTGCAGGCCTTTCTTACCAGAGAACAGCTGCAGGATTTCTTCTTCAGCTGCTGTCATTTCTTCTTCACAGCAAGCACCACCTACACTCTCTCTCTAGCCGAGGATTCATGTCTGCCACTTCCTTTCTCTTCCTGAAGGTGCTCCTATCTGCTGTTCTTTTTCTTTACAGCTGGTCAACTCATTAGTTCTCATACTGGATTTTCCCTGTCTCCCAACCTTCTTTTCTTACTATTCCTGAAGTAATAAGCACATTGGCCTTTTCCCTGTTAAGAGTTCACTGCTAGTCATTAAGGAGAAGCAAACATGAGGCAAGGGGAAAAGAATAAAGGAAGGCAACTTAGAGATGGAAGAGATGTCTTACAAATACTGGTATCAGGCATCTCTGGTCCACCCACACTGGCATGTGACTGAGGTCCCTTTCTCTGGGTCTCTTCTTGGATAGTCCCAAAGAAGTCTTAATATTTTCCTTCTCTTCATCCTTTAGCTCTACTTGTAAAACTTAGCCATCTCCCTATTCTTATCTATTTAGGGTATGGTGCTCTAAAGCTTTGTTGAACAAGAAGTTTCTACTACTCAGGAGGAGACTGCCCTTTTAATTCTCTCTCATTCCACGATTCCTCCCTTGTACCACCAACCCAGCAAACCCCTGGCCCCACAACCCCCTCAGTTGCCAACCTGACAGAGGTCTTCCCTGACAGTGGGCTTCATATAAGGAAGTAAAAGGAAGTATTTATTCACCCAACAACTCACTGGAAGGTCCTACACACCAGGCTAAATGTAAACACCATTTTGAGGCAATGGAGAGTCACGGATGATTTTCAACCAGGGAATTACAATAAAAAGTACCTTGCATTATGCACAGGCACTCAGGAAATATTTAGAGAAATCTATAAATAAGTGAATGAATGATCATAACTGTGTATGGGGAAGACTACTCTGGCAATATATGAAAGGGTAAGGGAATTTAAAAAAGCCACTCTAAGGCATAGGCTTAAATAATATGCTGATGTAAGTGAATTTCTACTTTCACCCTGTAGGATCTCCCCTATCTTACTGGTATAACTGCAAACCCTACCCTCTTAGACTATACTCTACTACTAAAACTTGTTCTTTGTGGTCATTTTCCAATTTAAGGCATTATCTTCCTAAAATAGGGACTAAAGAGGTTTCCTAATCAAAGGAATAAATCTCTCATGGTAGAATTTCTGTCACAATAAACAATCTAAAATAGGAGCAACCAAACTAGTATCATCTGAGAGACTTAGCACAGGCTAAGTGCAGGCCCAAAAGTATAAGACAATGACATACCCAGACTTCACAGTAATTCCAGAAGGTCAAAATGAATAGGCCCAATTCAGAGGTTTGGGATCCAGAGACCTTCCTAACGGTGAGGCTGAAGATCTTCTCCATGAGTTAAAGAGTGGCCGGGCCAGAAAAAACAATCCAAGAAAAACAAACTTGGGAGAAAACTACATAGCTTGGAAAAGCCCTTGGGCAGATGACTCTAGCACACAGGAAATGTAACAAAGGTAATGACAACAAGTGCTACCATCACCCCAACATATACCCCAACTTCTATGAACTACATCAGCTGTATTTTCTTCCTTTTTACACTCCATAAACTGTCAGCTCCTTGAAGGCAAAGATTGAGGGAGTTTTGCCTAATGTTTTAAAATCCTAACCCATGTCCCTTTCACATCAGGAATCATCCTAATAAAGGAACTTGAGGTTTACCTTTTATAGGAGAAATGTATCAGATACAACAAGAACCATTATTAAGGACCACTGGCACAGAGCTGCTCATTTTCTCCCAAGGAAATGATGCTTTCTAGATGAGGAAAGGAAGACTAAGCAGACCTGCAAAGCTGGACAAAGTAGGTAACCTCATGTTATGCCCAATTCCTCCAGGGTAGAGAGCCTGTAGAGCTCTGAGCATAATTAAAGGGGTATGTTTTTTTTTTTTCTGTTACTGAAAACAGAATAAATTATCCAGATCTTCATTCCTGCACTGACACCTCTTGTAACCTCACACTTGGATGAAGGGAGAGTCATTTGAAAATGTAAGTCTTCTGATTTTCATTTTGAGATCAGATCCCTATAGGAAGCCAGAATTTGCTGATCATGGAGCACCCAAGCACTCTGCTCTGTGAGAAATCACAGTACCAATTCTCTCATTTTACAAATGGAGATCTGAGGCCCAGAGAGGTCAGATGATGTGTCCAAGGTCACAAAGCAAGTCAGTGGCAGAGCAAGGTCCACATCATCATCTCCAAAATCCCTAGAGTTCAGTGTTATTTCCACTGCAGTAGCTATAGCAAAATTTTCATTCTTCTCTTTGGAGAGGAAGGAGTAGATACTCTGTGCCAGGCCCTGTGACAAGGTAAGGAGCAGAATATTAAACTTTTGGATTCTTTGTTGACTTTAGTAACTTCTGCTTATCTTGGCCTCCATTGTCTCAGCTGTGGTTCCCACTCTTCTCTGTGGAAAGTTAGGTCGTAAGTCAGTTAGTCTCGAACTGGCTCAGGATTCCTACCAGGGCTGGTATAGTCCCCCTGCACATGGCTCAGGATCTCTTGGTCTGTAAACAGGCGGAAGGTAATCTGCTCACAATCCCGCTTGATTCCACATTCGAACAAGCACCCAAACAAGCCTTCCTCCTCCACAGCAGCCATATCAGAGTAGCCACAGGGCCCACAGTGTAAGATCCAGGGACGGGACCAGCAGGTGGCCTCTAAAGGGGCCTGGTTGAGGTAGATGCCTAGGTCGACCCTCCGTTTCTTATTAGTTGGGTGTGAGTACAAGAGCCATGATTCCGACAGTGATCCAGCTTCCTGCTCCGGCTTCAGTGAGTTGTCTAGTGGAGGGCTCTGCTGAACAGTGGGAGCATCTTTGCCACTAGGGTTCTGGCACTTATATGGGATCTCTAGGGGCCGGAAACTTACCACACTGCCTTGGCAGCCATGTGGGGGCTCACAGAGCTGTTGGCTCAAGGCTGATTTCTCAAAGCATTCACCATGGTCAGTGCTGAGAGCCTCTGCCCGATGTCTATTTGGTGTCCGGGCACTGCAATACAGCACAGGGTGGCCTGCCTTCCCAGTCACCTCTGCAACCTCACACTCCACTGTTACCATGGGCCTAATGAGCCTGCCATGATGCCATGTAGCACCTAGGTCATCACTGTAGATCATCAGGGAATGAGGCCTGGCTTTACATGGTAGCCGGAAGCAAAAGAACCAGTAAGGGATGTAGTAGGTGTATGCAGGGATGACCAGCCTTCCTGACTGCAGCTGGATGCCATGACCTGGGCCCACAGCAAAGGTGGCCCAGTGCTTCATCTCTGGACCAATCACTTCCTCAGTCAGGTCCCTCACCTCGCTCCATGAGCATCCAGCATCCTTACTGCAGATGAAGCAGAGGCGGGCAGCATTCCTGCCTGACATGATCTGTTGCCGCTCAGTTACATGGTTCCGTACACAGATGAAGAACAGGTACACAAAGCCACTCTTCCTCTCCCACACAGGACAGGGGTTCATGGTCCGGTGTCCAGGTAATGTGGCTTTCAACAGTGATTCCAGTGGCCCCCACTAGACAAGAAGAAGGGAGGAGGGTGGTGAGAGACTAATAGGAAGACATAAGGCTCATTAAAAGCATTAGTACTTTGAGATAAGGAAAAAATATTGAAATCTACAAAGGCCCAAGTATTCGAGAAATTCCCAAGTATTATAAAATGCCTCATGAAGCTGGAAAGAGACAATGCCAGCTACTGCATATGTTGGCCCCTCTGTCTCAAATTCAAATGCTCTTTTTCTCCTTAGCCAGACTCCCAATTTATCCTCCAAAGTCTAAATCAAAAGTCACCTCCTTTGTGAAGCCTTCCATGAAACTCCTTCCTCACTCCTACTGAAGGCAATTGGTTGCTTCCTCTTCCTTGTACATACATTTGGCACTTATAACACTAACTTATTTAAGAGATTTTTCCCTTCCTAGATTGTGAGTCTTTTGAGAGAAGAAACTAAATCTTACTAATTTTGTATCTCTAGTGCCTGACACAAGATTGAAGCCAAATAAACATTTTCAGAAAGAAAAAGAATAAAATAAAGGAAGAAACACAAAGTAAAACAAGGCAGGCAAACAGGGACGCTTTAGACAAATAAAGGACAATTTTAGATTTTTTTCTTTTTTCTTCCTGTACTACCCTGTTGTTGTTGTTGTTGTTATGTGCCATTGAGTCAGACCCGACTTACAGCAACCCCTCCTTGGATTTCTGAGGGAGTATCACTACAGAAGTAGATTGCCCAACCTTCCTTCTGAGGAGTGGGTGGTGGATTGGAACTTCCAGCCTTCTGGTTAGCAGCCAAGTGCCTTAGGCACTATGCTACCAGAGCTCCTTGTACTACCCTAGGGAAGCAATTCATAACAGTGTCATTAAAAGCTCAAGTGTGGAGTCAGAGACACCCTGGCCTTACATTCAAACCCTGGCTTCATCACTTACTGCGTAACCATGGGCTAACCGTTACTTAATCTTACTTTTCCTCAGTGTCTTTATCTGTGGAATGGAGACTTTAATAGCATCCTTGCAGAGGAGGAGTTGTAAGAATTAAGTGAGATGATGCCAAATTAGCCATATCACAAACAAAGGCCTATTTAACTGTGCTCATGAGGAACCTGTACATAGACTAAGAAGCTGTTTTTCAAACAGAACAAGGGGCTACCGCATGGTTTAAAATTAAGGATGGTGTGCATCAGGGCTGTATTCTTTTACCATGGTTATTCAGTTTGTATGCTGAGCAAATAATCCAAGGCGCTAGACTATATGAAGAACACCACAGCATCAGAAAGACTCATTAACAACCTGTGATTTGCAGATGACACAATCTTGCTTGCTGAAAGTGAAGTGACTTGAAGCATTTACTGATGAAGATTAAAGAATACACTCTACAGTATGGATTACACCTCAACATAAAGAAAACAAAAATCCTCATAACTGGACCAATAAGCAACATCATGATAAATGAAGAAAAGTTTGAAGTTGTAAAAGATTTCATTTTAGTTGGATCCACAATCAATATCCAGGGAAGCAGCAGTCAAGAAATTAGATGTCTTATTGCAAATGTATTGCAAAAGACCTCTTTAAAGTGTTAAGAAGCAAAGATGTCACTTTGAAGACTAAGGTGCAACGAACTCAAAACCAAAAAATCAAATTCACTGCCATCGAGTCGATTGCAACCCCAAGGCAGTAAAGCTTTATTGAAGTACATCACCCCATCTTCCTTCCACGGAGTGGCTGGTGGATTTGAACTGCCAACCTTCTGGTTAGCAGTCAAATGCCTTCGGCACTGCACCACCTGAGTTCTTTACCCAAGCCATGGTATTTCCAATCACCTCATATGCATGTGAAAGCTGGACAATGAATAAGGAAGAGCTGAGTCCTTTGAATTATGATGTTGCCAAAGAATACTGAAAACACCATGGACTGCCAGAATAAACAAATCTATCCTAGTAATAGTACAGCTAGGATGTTCCTCAGAAAAAAGAATGGCCAGACTTTGTCTCACCTACTTGGTCATGTTGTCAGAAGGGACCATTCCCTGGAGGAGGATATCATGCTTGGTTGAGGATCAGTGAAAAAGGGGAAGACCCTCAACAAGATGGATTGACACAGTGGCTGCAACGATGGGCTCAGGTATAGCAAGGATCGTGAGGATGGCATAGGACCAGGTAGTGTTTCTTTGTGTTGTACATAGGGTCACTACGAGTAGGAGCTGACTTAACGGCACCTAACAACAACCACAGCAAACAAAGGTCTGTCGTTACTGTGTGTCATCATGTTGATTCTGACTCATAATGGCCCTAGAGGAGAGAGTAAAGCTCCCCCACAGGATTTCCAAGGCTATAATATTTACGACAGATAGCTGCATCTTTCTCCCATGGAGCAGCTGGTGGGTTCAAACTGCAAAACTTTTGTTAGCAGTTGGTGCCTGCTTAACCACTACACCACCAGGGCCAATCTCTCTGACAGATTTTTTAAAATAGCAACTAGAAATTAGTAAGAAAATGTCCAGAAACCCAACAGAAATGGACAAAGGACAAGATCAGACGTTTCACAGAAAGAGAGTGGAAAAAAAAATGCAAATATGCTCAACATCACATATAAAAGAGACATGAGAATTAAAATTAAGCTGACAGCATTTTTCATCTAACAAGTTGACAAAATCATGAAGTCTGTTTCTGTTGGCAAGAATGTGGAATAACAGAAACTCTTACATATGTGTTAGAGTGCAAAATGGTTAAACCCTTATGTAGGATCAGAATTACAAATGCATTTTTTCTTTCCCAGCATTCCTAATTCTAGAAATTTATCCTAAGATATATTAAGTATATCATCCAATTAAGTGTATTATTCACTGTAGTATTGCTTGAAACAGCAAAATACTGGGAGCAATCCAAATATTCATCAACAGGGGACTAGTTGTCCCCATGGTGAACACACATAATGCATGCAATGAAAAAGAGAAAAGACCTTTATATCTTGATCTGGAAAGATCTGCATAATGTATTGCTAAAGAGTAAAGTAAAACTGTATATAGTATACTATTTTTACTTTTTTTGCATAAGAAAGGTGAAAGAAAGGGACTTTCAGTTATGACAAACTAGGTAATTTGGACCAACCCTCCCATTGGGCAATCTACTTCCGTAGTGATGATGTTGTTGTGTGCCATCGAGTCGGTCCCGACTCATAACGACTCCTCCTTGGGTTTCCGAGGCGGTATCACTACGGAAGTAGATTGCCCAACCTTCCTTCCGAGGAGTAGTGATACCACCTCAGAAACCCAAGGAGGGGTTGCTATGAGTTGGATCTGACTCAATGGCAGTGAGTTTGGTTTTTGGTTTGGTTCCACTGAGACCTAGAAAAGATGGATAAAATATTAAAACGAAACGATAAACCTCTGCCAGAAAACAAACAAGGTAATGAAGAATGTTAGACCAAGAACTGAGAGAAGGTCATTCAGAGAGGTCAGCCTGGTATTAAGCCCCTTTTCCCCTCACGGTATCTCTATTCTTATTTGCTGCAGTACAGTCAGTCATCCACTCCTATCCTGGACTCACTGGCAAACTAAGCACAACAGATGGGATCACTGTGATCCACAGGTTTTTCATTGGCTGATTTTTGGAAGATCACCAGGCCTTTCTTCCTAGTCTGTCTTAGTCTGGAAATGCTGCTGCAACTTGTTCATCATCCTAGCAACATGCAAGCCTCCACTGACAAGAGCAGTGGTAGCTGTGTATGAGGTACACTGTGGGACTCAAACAGGGTCACAGGTATGGAAGGTGAGAATTCGACCATGAGCCACTGCTGCCCCCTAGGGTATCTCTACTGATTCTCAAAGAGATAACTGAAAGGCTGAGAAGCTGCACAACTCATCTGACAGCCTTCTGGGGCTAGTAGGATAATTGCAAGCACTGATAAACTCTCTAGGTTTTCAGACGGAGCCCTAAAGGGCTAGATTTTAGGAGTAAAGGATGAAACTGAAGCAGACCAGCCATACAACAACCACTCTAGAAAACTGTTTAGCATTATCTTCTGAGATGAAACATACATACCTTACATTCTAGTAACTCTACTCCTAGATATATGTATACCCAACAAAAATGCATGCACATAGTATAAAAAAATACAAACAAGAATATTCATAGCAGCATTATCCATAATTATTAATAGCTAACCAAAATATCATCAACAGTAGAATGGATAAATAATAGAATACTATATAACAATGAAAATGAAAATACTATAGCTGCACATAACTCGTATGAACCTCAAGAACACTGAACAAAAGAAATCATTCATAAAAGAATATAAAGATTAAAAGCAAGCAAAACTCAATTTGTGCTATTAAGTCAGGATAGTAATTACCTGGGAAGAAGAGAAAGGAGGAGTAAGAGAGGCTTCTGAGGTGCTGGCGATTCACCTACTTCTGACTTATCAACTATCTTGTTATCCAGCATTTCACATTTACAATAGTAAAACATATGACTATTTTATGCATTAACAACATATGCCTAGGTGTGAGGCAAGAGTTAATGCTGGCTGTTATGTTACAGACTATGTGTCAACTTGGTGGGGCTATGATTCTTAGTAGTTTGGCAGTTACCTAATGATGTAATTCAGCAGTTATATAATGATACAATTTGTCAGTTAGGTCATGATGCAGTCATCCTCCATTTTCATAGCACCAATTTTCACATAATGCCAATTTTCATGTAACAACCTAGTCTTTGGAACCAAACCATGTTAATAAGTGAGGAGTGGGTATATTCTATTTCTTGAGCTGAGTGGTGATTCCACAAGTGTTGGCTTTATCATAATTCACTGAACTGACATTTTTATTATGTGTACTTCTCTATCATGTTACTACTACACATTAAAAAATTTTTTTTGAAAAGGAGTAATAAAAATATGTATTTGTACTTCTTTGTTTCTGTATGAAAAAACACTGGAAGGTACATAAGAAATGAGTAATTACATATAGGAGGTAGTGGAATGGATGTATACCTTTTAATATTGTTTATATTTTTCAGCTTTATGCATAGATTACCATATTTCATCCAAACAAAAAAATAAAAATAAATTTAATTCGTGCATAACAGGCAGAACAAATTACTAAGCAAAGCTCTGATCACAGAATCTTAGCGCCATAAGGGACCATAGGAGTTGCTAATGCCAATTCCCATTTTACAGAGAATTCTCCTGTAAGTCTCCTGGATAAAGGCCATTCAGTCTCTCATTGAACTAGTCCAGTGACAAGAATTCACAATTCTATACTAGACTGTCTTCTGCACTATAAATGCTTCAAAACATGTGATAAAGTCAATTTAATTTTGGAGGACATTTAGTTTTAGGAAGTCATAAACTTAGTCATCTTTAGTGGCTAAGAGGAAGAAATTATTTGGGCCAGATATGTCTAACATAAAGTTGATACAAAGTTAGAAGAAACAGTAAGCAAAGCCTGAAAACATTAGGATCTAAGATGATCTCAACCAATTGGAATAATGGGACATAACAAATTCAGATTTGTCAGGGATGAAATAGGTCTTGGGCTTAAAAGTCTGAATGGGGAAACCTGATTAAAGATTAGCAAATGTAAAAAACATTTGGGGGTTTTAGTTGACCATCTGTTCAATATCAGTCAACTGTGTTATACCAAAAATCACAAACCAAACCTACTGGCATCGGGTCGATTCTGACTCATAGAGACCCCCTTTGGGTTCCCGAGGCAGTAAATCTTTATGGAAGCAAAGGGCTGTAGCCTGAAGAACCATTAAGAGCACTGAAGTTATTCAGGCCAGCAAATAGAAGACTCAGAGGGCATGAACATGGCTTATGTACTTCAAAGAGCAGTTTTCTAGAAAGTGGATTTTATATTATGTATAGATCAACTGCCCCAATAAATATAATCTCAGTCCAAAAAAACCCTTAATAGTTACCACAGGATTAAGTTCCTTATTACTGGCGTATATAAGTAGGACAATTATAGAAAATGACTAATGTGGAGTTCTTACTATGTGTGATTACTATATTGCATGTGGCAGATGACAACACAGAGTCAAGTATCCAAGGTCAAAACCCACTGCTATGGAGTCAATTCCACCTCACAGCAACCCTGTAGAACTTCCCCACAGGGTTTCCAAGGCTGTAAATTTTACAGAAGCAGATTGCACATATTTCTCCCATGGAGCAGCTGGTAGGTTCTAACCAGCGACCTTGCAGTTAGCAGCCAGGTGCTTAACTACTGGGCCACAAGGGTTCCTTATCCAAAGTCACACAGCTAGTAAATGGTAGGTATTCCCTGACTCCAAAGGAGTCTCTTAACTGCTAAACTGTTAGTACCTACCAGTGGAATACAGAAGATTTCTGTATTGGGATAGAAGTTGGGCTAGATGATTTTCCTAATACCAAGATTCTACAATTAAGTAAATCTGAGAATAAAAGTGAGTAAAATAAAGACAAAACCAAACCCAATGCCACTGAGTTGATTCCAACTCATAGCAACATTATAGGACAGAAAAGAGCTGCCCCATAGGGTTTCCAAGGCTGTAAATTTTCATGGAAGCAGATTGCCTCATCTTTCTCCTGCAGAACGGCTGGTGGATTCAAACTGCTAACATTTGGTTCACAGCTGAATGCTTTAATCACTTACAAGAGCAGAGCTCCTTAAAAGAAAACAGAATGAGCTAAAGTGGGCAAGTTTGTGAATGATCATGACTACTAGGTAGCAACGTTACACCACAGGTGTGATCTGATAACAACTGCTTAAGGGCCCAGCCATCTGTGATAGAAAACAGGACACTAAGACCAGAGAAAGGTCTGTCCTGGAGGAAATGACAGAGTGGAACTGGAGAGTCTCTAAAGCAAAAAACTTCCCCACAGGGAAATATGAGCCAAATTGTCATTAAAAAGCAAGGACAGGGGTTTCTGGCAAGGCCCACCTTCAGCAGAATAGCATTTGCACTGTAACAGCAGAATAAGACATCAGCTATGGATATGAAGCTTTAACGGTGAGATTTCAGATATCTGTTGGTAGAAGAGCAGGGCAAGTTAGGGGGATTAAAGTACCTCTTATATAACCATTTACATACCACTTTAAAGTTTATAAGATTCTCAAATCCACTGTCTCATTTGATCCTCACTACAACTCTGGGAGATAAAGGTAACAATGAGAAAAATGGGGTCTGAGATGTCCCTGTACCCCCAGGCCCAAAGGCTATTTCCACCATTAAAAATGCATAAAAGCATGCTACTTAAGGGCAAGAACTCCAAGCCCTGTTCTTTCACTTATAAGGTGTGTAACCAAGGGAATTCACATTAATTCTCCAAGCCCCAGTTTTCTCCTGTAAAATGGTGATAATACAAACTTCACATACACCATTTATTTGTAGTAGTAAGCTTGTTATTCTTAAATCTTCCTTCCACCTCCCAACCTACTAGTTGTGATCTTGAACAAGTTCAAGCTCTTGGAACAACAGGACCCTCATCAGCAAAACTGGACTAACAACACTTACCTCCCTGGGTGACTTGTGAAAATTAAAGAAGATAATAATGAAAAGTACACCACACAGTAATCTGAATCTCAATGGAGGCCTCTAGGATCAGAAACTGAATGTGAAGCCTGCTTCTACTCTTTTGTTAGCTGTGTAAGCTTTTGAGTAAGTGGCAACTTCTTAGCCTCAGTTTTCTCATCTGTAAAATGTGACTGACAACAGTACCTATGTCACAGAGTAGCTATGAGGATCCAATGAGATAACATGCATAAAATGTTTTTGCTCAACCCCTGACACACAATTGTTGTTGTTGTTGTTAGGTGTCATCGAGTTGGCGCTGACTCATAGCAACACTACATGCAATGAAACACTTCCCGGTCCTGAACCACCCTCATAATCATTGCCATGCTTGAGCCCACTGTTGTAGCCACTGTGTCAACCCATCTTGTTGAAGGTCTTCCCCTTTTTCACTGACCCTCTACTTTACCTAGCACTGTATTCTTCTTCAAGGACTGCTACCTTCTGACATGACCAAAGCACAAGGTCAACATGACCACAGGCAATGTCCTGGAGCAAATGACAGAGTGGGTCTGGAGCATCCATAAAGCAAAAAACTTCCCAACAGGGAAATGTGAGCCAAACTGTCAGTAAAAAGCAAAGACATGGGTTGCTTTTACTGTTTTTTCTCTTCTCCTCAGTTTCCCACATGGTGCTTTTCCTGCACTGAAGGGCAAAGGCATAAACGAGATACTCTAGAGAGAAACTAACGTTCTGGCCCAGATATGGAATGAGGAGTCACCTGTACTATGTGTCCGGTCCTCAACCCTCGCCTCAGCACCAGGTAGAGAGCATCCTCATCCCTGCATGTAGAGCGCTTCTCTGCAAAGGCCAGGAAGGTTCGGGCAGGAGGGATGTAGAGCAGAGCTGGGATCCGGTAGGTGATCCCTCTCTTGTCTTCCTGCTGGAACAGAGGATTGTTGAAGGAGCATGATGTCACTTCTTCCATGACCTCTGTAAGGACAGGAGGCAGCTAAATGTGTGTCCATACCCAAATGCTGGCTTCCACACAGTTCTGTTTTTATCATTTCATTTCTGCAGACCATAAAGGAGGCACAGACATATTCAAATGTTTATTTTTTAAACAAAGGTAACATTATGATCTCAACAGAATAAAGCAAGCAATATGCATTCTTGTTTTAAAAATCTATTCACCTGACTCTGTGGGAATCCTGTATAGCTTGTGTCAAGTGTGTATCTCTCCAGATAGTTTCTGCATTTGCTTCTGCCACACAGTCTGGGTGTATTACCAATCTGACATGGTTTTTAATGTCAATTTCTTGTCTTGGGGTTTCTAGGCCATTCTAGTAATGTAAATATAAACCCAAATCATAAGAGGGAATGCCTATGGCTAAGAATTCTCAGGGGACACTTTTTTTCCCTCTACTGGAACCTAGGCTAAGAAGTAATCTTTGTCACCTTCATGTGTCAGTAGAGGATTCCCACCCCCACCCCCCGCCCCTTATCCATCCTATAACAGAGGGCATAGAGTTTCAAGGGACTCAGCTTCATGCAGGACCTGTTCCAACTGAAGTCTAACCCATGCAGGTCCATGGCTTCATTTGCTGTAACAGCAGGTCTATTAAAGCCCAAGTTTCCAGGTAACTGAGACCAGTGAATACTCAGGGCAGCTGAGGTCAGATTAGAGGGCTAACTACTCTGGTTTTCAGTTTGTTCTTGGTTCTTAAGCCCCTAAAGATTTCTCTTATTTTCTTGCAAATTCAGCTACAAAGATCTTTGTTATATTTAATCCACTATTTTACAGGTTAGCTAGCCTGCGGTAATGTGGAAAATGAGTCTCCAGGGACTCTTCTTAGGAAAATCAGGTGTTCTACTTCTCAGAGAACCAAAAAAAGGGAATCAAGACCCAGGTTTAGAAATTTTTCCCCCTCAAACCATCTGCCATCCAAGTCTTATCTTACAATTCATTTGTAAACACTATCAGGCTGTACTGTCAGGGCTTATTCTTTTATTCAACACCTATTTCCGAGTACTCTCAAGAAACCCACATCCTAGTAAAGGAAACAGATGTACACATGGACAACTATGGTGTAATACGTGATACTTTAGAGGTAAACACAAGAGCATGCAGGAAATGAAAGCGTCAGGAAAAAATTTTTGGAGAAAGAAATAACTAAGTCAAGTGTGCTTCCGCCTCATATTCTTATACTCTCTGCCTGGAACACTCCTCTTGTAGAGAGCCACATAGCTCACTTCCTCACTTACTTCAACTCTGTTCAAACATCATCTAATCTCTGAGGCCTGCCTTGACCACTCTCCTGCCCTTCATCTACTCTATTCTCCATACAACTTACCATCTTTTTTTAAAAAAACTTTTTATTGTGATTTGGATGAAAGTTTATAGAACAAATTGGTTTTCCATTCAACAATTCATACACATTTTGTTTCATGACACTGAGTGCAACCCCCACAATGTAGCAGCACTCTTTTCACTTTCTCTCCGAGTTTGTTTCCATCCATACTTCTTTCCTATCACTTCCTGCCTTCTGAGTTTTATCTCTGGGCATATGCTGCCCCTCTGATCTCATATGGTTGTCTGTTCTAAGGGGTATATACCTCCCTGGTTTTACTGTTCACCTTATAGGCCCATCTGTTGTTTGGCTGAAAGTTGAGCCATGGAGGTAAGTTCAGTTCCAAGTTTGAAAGATGTCTAAGGGTCATGGTCTCTTGAGGGTTCTTACACTTGTTTTAATAAACTATACAGAATATTCAAGCTCTATATTTGGCAGGGATATATCTATTTCAGTCACTGCTACACCCCTAGAGCCATGACTGACACATGATAAAACCCACTGCTGTCGAGTAGATCCTGACTCACAGCAACCCCATAAGAGTAGAACTGCCCCATAGGGTTTCCAAGGCCTTAAATCTTTATGGAAGCAGAATGCCACATCTTTCTCTGGTGGAGCAGCTCATGGGTTTGAACCACTGACCTTTGGCTAGCAGACAAGCACTTAACCATAACACTACCAGGGTTCCTTGATAAATCATAGGCACTCAATAAATATTTTATGAATGACTGACTAAATCAATGAGCTTGGCTCTTAAAAGAATAAAGAGCAGGTTAGCCAACCGAAGGGTGAAAAGAAGGGCAGCAGTAGATATGAAAAGCTTCCAGGCAGCAACAACATAGTGACCTGCAGGAATTAGAAGTAGTTCAGTATGGCCATAGAGTTGGGAGCAGAGATAGGACTGGAGGGTTCAGCAGAGTCCAGTTCCTGGGAGAGTTTAATGTCTTATTAAGGTGTTTCATCACTTAACTGGGAGCCACTCAAGAGTTCTTAGCTTAGAATGACATGATCAAATATACATTTTAGATTGATCTCTCAGGTAGCTGTGTGGGCAATGAACTAAAGGGAAAAGTCACACCAGTACTGACTCCATCCTTCTAGTGTTGATCAAAAGAAATTTGCAACAGTATATGAATGATTCATTTAGTCATATGTTCCTAACTTTAAAAAAACCAAAGATAGATTGTTTTCCTCCTAGAATACTAGAGCACACCCTTCTCTCCCCAGTTCAGGCTGTCCTGCCAGGGTGGGTCAGGCTTTCTTCAAAGTAAAGATCTGTGCCAGAGCCAGCCTGGTGTAATAGTTAAGAACAAAAGATATGGACTAGGCCTGGGCTACATGACCTTGGGCATGTTATTAATTAACTTCTCTGTGCTTCAGGATCCTCATTTATAAAATTCAGTGACATGGTTGAGAGAAATTTAAAAAGTTAAGTGGCCGTTACAAAGCTTGTGACATAGTATGATAGTTGTTATTTTTAGACTATCAATCAGATTACCACAGAATATTTTAGTTTTATTCCTTAAATCCTTTAGGTAATGATGATAGTAACAATTATAACTGCCTTTCTTAAAAGCATTTAAATCCCTCTTTACCCTTAGGAGAGAATCATGCTTTCATGAGTTAACACTTTAATTATGAGTTGATACCAAAATCATTAATCATCAGTCAACATATGATTATTCGTTAACATATAAGCAGAAATTCTCTGGGTGATAAGAAGAATGGAGTATGGGATGGGCATGTAATGAGGAGGAAGAACTAGGAAAAAGCAAAAGGAGAGGAAGTGCAGAGAGCACCTAAGAGGAAGGACCACTTGTTATATGGGATCTAGATTCAAGTCCCAGCTCCACTTCTTACTATGTGACCTTGCACTAGTCATTTAATCTCTCTAGGGCTTGGATTTCTCACTTACAAAATGTGGACAATAATAATACCTACCTCAGAGGATCAGAATGAAGAACCACTTGGAAGTGCTTTATAAACTTTAAAGCATTATGTATCTGAAGCTTTATTATTAATGTTGATGTCTTCACAATTTCACTTATGGCTCTGCTATCACTAGAACAATTAGATTAAATATCATTGTTATTATGATTATGCTGATCATGTCAATGACAGTGGGAAAACAGATGGTGGCTTTGGCACTGACACCCAAACTATTTCACACAAATTATCTACTGGCAACTAGGGATAGAGAAGAATTAGACACAGGTCTGCTTTGGAGTTACTCATTTTAGCAAGAATTCAAGTTATTAACTGCTGCTCCATATAATCACCTATCGATCAAATCCTCCCTGCTCTCCTATTGAGGAAGAATATAGTGTGGCATGGACTTTTTAGTCTAACTTGGCTTTGACAGTTATTACCAAGTCATACCATCTCTGAACTTCAGTTTCTTGAGTTGTAAAATCGGGATACCACCACCTACTTCTCATGTTATAATAATGCTGTAATTCAACAGCCTCCAATGAATCCAATGCAGTAAGCAACCTCCAGGGAATCCCAGAAAACCTTGCTACTTCATTTATTCACCCCTAACAACTAATATTTAAGCAGTATCTACCCATTGTCAGGGCCCGTGCTATGCAACCAGGATAAAATGTTGAAGGCAGAGCCTAACCTCTAGGAGGTCGGTGTGTTATCACAAGTGTATACAGTGTCTGGGTTGAAAGAGCTTTTGGGGATCCAAACCCCTCATTGTACAGATGGGAAAACTCAGGCTAATAAAGGGAGGGAAAAAAGGTCACTCCACAAGCAAAAAACCTGGGCCAAGATCCAGGTCTCTTGAATTTCAGCTCAAAGCTCTTTCTGTTGCCTCCAGACCCCTGTCCGAGTAAGAAGGGTTTTCCCAGCCTCTATTTCCCTTCATCTCTAAAACGCTAGCTCTAAGGTTTAAGTCCGACTCGATGGCACATAACAACAATGTTTAAGTCTGGCTTCAAGGGGAAGAAAACAAAAATGTTGTTGTTGTTGTTATGTGCCGTCGAGTCGGACCGACTCATAGCGAACCCCTCCTTGGGTTTCTGAGGCGGTATCACTATGGAAGTAGATTGCCCAACCTTCCTTCCCAGGAGTGGAAAACAAAAATAGCACTGGGCAAAAATACTCTGGCTACGTCTGAGATCCTAGCAGACTGAGTGGCTATGACTCAATATTCCCTCAAAAATGAATTTCCTAAACCCCGACGGTACTGCTAAACCTGTCCCCGCAGTAACAATGCCCCACTTTTTCGGAGCGGGGGGTCTCCTGTCTCCGTGCCCCGCTCACCTGTGCGGGGCCCCAGCTCCTCGGTCTCTCTCGGAGCAGAGCCGGGCGCCGGGTGCTCTTCCATGGGGCGCGGGACAGGCCCTCAATTCTTGACACCGAAGTCGCGGGGAATGGTCAGCACCAAGGTAGGGGAGACTGAGGCAGTGGAAAGATGGAGAAAGAGGAGAGAACGAGCAACAGAAGAGACTGCGGGCATGAAGACAAACTACGAGAAGCGAAAAGCGGGAACACTGTCAGCAAGACGACAATAGGGAAAAAGAGAGACTCGAAGGAGAGCCGACTGGGGACTGAAAAGCGAGGACGGCAGCTGAGGCACGGACACTGAGACTAGGTCCTACGCAGGCCGCAGCCAGCTGGCCGTTGGGACCGGCGGTTGGTTGGAACGCGGCGTCAGCCCCGCCCGCTGGGCTGGGCTGCAATTGAGGCCCCGCCCCTTCCCCGGTTCCAGACTCGCTCCGCCGTCGGTACCGCCACTTTTCTTTTTAGCGCGGAGCATTGTATCAGCCTCGGCATGGAATCTCTCGGACTACCACCACCACCTCCTCCAATCCAGGCCCAACCTTCGTTCAGGCCTTGGGCTACCGCCGTGCCTAATAGCCGCTCAGCAAGGCCCCTGGCTTCGTTCACATCTATTGGTCCCTGGTCTGTTGACAGGTATCACCGCCTAAAATTTCCCTAGACAGCCTCAGCTTAAAGAAAGGTTCCGGGCCTCAGAGGGACCTTTACAAAGATGATGAGAGGCTGGGTAGGGTGGCGCCACGCCCCTTGCAAAAAAATAAAAGTAACCTACCCAGGTTAGCCCACATCCAATATCCAGTAGTTTATCCATGGGTTGTTGACACAGTAGCTTTGATGATGAGCTCTAACATGGAAACGATTGGGAGGATGGCTCAGGACTAGACAGTGTTTCGTCACTATAAGTCAAAACTGATTCTATGGCACCTAACAACTCAGCAGTTCATGTGAGGGTATAAAGGCCTGGTGATCTTATACCGATTTAGGAAAATTCTGAAGAGCCAGTATAAATCCAGAGCAATCCATGTATGCCTTTGGCTGAGGTTGTTGTTGGGCCTGCACCACAGCTCAATTTCTTCCTCTGCCCAATCCTGCTGCCTTCTCACTTCCACAAGTATTGGTCCCAAGGGCACTTCTTAATAAATCCTGTTAAACCCCATCTCAGATGGTCTGCTTCTTGTTGTTTTTGTTGTTGTTAAGTGCCGTCGAGTCGTTTCCGACTCATAGCGACCCCATGCACAGCAGAAGGAAACACTGCCCGATCCCGCGCCAGCCCCACAATCCCTGCTATACTTGAGCCCATCATGGCAGCCACCGTATCAATCCATCTCCTTGAAGGCCTCCCCC